CTAGAATATCAGGGAAGTTTTTCTTGATAATTTCTTGAAAGATGATTTCTAGGCTCTTTTTCTGATCATGATTTTCAGGTAGTCCAATAATTCTTAAATTATCTCTCCTGGATCTATTTTCCAATGAGATATTTCACATTTTCTTCTCCTTTTTTTCATTCTTTTAATTGTTATATTGCTTCTTGAGGGAGGCCATCTCCAGTCATCCTGATTTATATCCTGCCACTGGATCCAGATGGCTCTGGAGGAGAAACTGAGGCTTGTGCTTTTGTACAGCCCTTCCTCACTTAAATCCAATTTACTTGCAAGTCACGGCATCACCTTCCTGATAACATGGTCCACTTCCAGAAGGAAGGACAAACAACAACATTGTTTCATGATGTCTCGTGGATTCATTAACTTCCACTTATCCCATTCTAATTTTTAAAGAACTATTTTCTTCATTGAGCTTTTGTACCTCTTTTTCCACTTGGCCAATTCTACATTTTAAGTTCTTCTCTTCATCGAGTTGTTGTGCCTTCTTTACTATCTGGCCTATTCTGTTTTATAAGGTGTTATTTTCTTCACATTTCTTTTTTCTGTGCCTTCTTTACCAAGCTATTGACTCTTTTTTTCATGATTTTCTTGCAACGTAGTCATTTTCCAATTTTTCCTCTACCTCTTATTTGATTTTTAAAATCCTTTTTGTGCTCTTCCTGGAATTCTTTTTGGGCCTAAGGCCAATTCATATTTTTCATTGAGGCTTTGGATGTAGCAGTTTTGACTGTTGTCTTCTTCTGTGTTTGTGTTTTGGTCTTCCCTACCACCATAGTAACTTTCAATGGTCAGGATCTTTTTTGTTTGTTTGTTCATTTTTTTCAGACTATTTCTTGACTTTCAGCTTTATGTTAAAGTTAAGCTCTGCTCCCAGGGTGCAGAGGGCCCCATTCCAAGCTTTATTATTTTTTTTTGTACAGCTTTTTTCAGAGCTAGTTCTGGGGGTCTGTAAGCTTTTAGGTCTTCCAAGGTTGTATGATCTAAGGAGAGCTGGGTTTACCACTCTCCTGGTCTATGCTCTGGTCTGTGAGCAACCACAAGCACTCTTTTCTGTCCTGGAATTGTGACCAGGGTGCCCACTCCCCTGTGGCAACAAGCTCAGGTGTGCCAGTGCTCCTCCTCACCCTGGGACTGCCACCCCAGACTGCTGCTCGGATCCAAGTATGGGTAATGCAACAGTGTCCTGCACCCCAGGGCCAGCAAAGGGACTCCTGCACTCCTGCAACATCGTTCTGACCAATTGTCTGATGCCTTACCATGTGCAGGCTGAGAGTTCCACAAGCAGCTGTTGTTGCAGTTCATTCAGCTACCCCCCAGGCCTGCTGCTGGCTTCCTGTGGCCCAACCTCTACGAAAGCAGCCTAATCAGACCAAGCTCTGCTCTCATCCCTCTGTGACAGACCGTTCCTGCCAATCTTCTAAGTGGTCATGAACCGGAAAGTTATTTCACCCCGCCACTCCAGACTTTGTTTTGAGGTATTATTTAAAGTTTTTTGGAGGGGAATTTGGGAGAACTCAGGCAAGTTCTTGCCTTTTCTTCACCATGTTTGCTCTCTCCTCAAAAAGTATGGTTGAAAAAAGTGTTAGCTGGAAGCTGCCTTTGCAAACAATTACTGGAGAACCTAGCACTTAAATTTCTGTCACACTTCTGTGTCGAATGGGGAAAATAAGACAAAATTCCCCTTTAAAAATTCACAAGATCACTTCAGTTTTACACCAGTTATATCTGCATGCATTGTTTTCAGTGACACCATATCTCTAGATCACTTTAATAAGTATATAAAATTATGCCTTCATTTTAACATGACAAATATTATCAATCAACTTTACTGACATGGTAAATTTGTAACATGACATCTAAACTGGTGAAAGGATAAGTAAATAAGAAATAGTATGGGGTGGGGCAGAGCCAAGATGGAAGAGTGAAAGCAGTGATTTGCTTGAGCTCTCCCCCGAACCCCTCCAAATACCTATAAAAAAATGGCTCTAAATAAATTCTAAAGCAGTAGAATTTTCCAGCCCAAGATAACCTGGATGGTTGATTGGAAAGGTATATTGTGCTGGGCTGGGAGAGTAACACAGTTTGATGTGGGCATGCAGGCCGCAGCAAACCTGGAGCAGGCCTCAGAGGACTGAATTGTAGGCACCTGTGGCGGTTTCCAGACTTCTCAACCCATGAATGTCACAGACAACTTAGAAGGTCGGTGGGAAAAGTCTGTTTCTGCGGTGAGAGAGAAGCTAGGTTTCAGCCCCCTAGATCCCAAGCGCAGCCGGGGGTGGTGGCTGCTTTCTGAGCTTCCGGCCCACAGACTGAGGGGGAATAGCAGGGATCTCTTTGCCAGTGCTGAGGCAGGAATCTCTTGCTTTGCCTGTGCTTGGATCCAGGTCACAGTTCTGAGGGGTGGTCCTGGGGCAAGGAGGAGTGCTGGCGAGGTGGAGTTTGTAGTGGCGGTGAAGAGGAATTTCTCCTCACAGTTACAAGACAGAAAAGAGGGCTTGTGGTCACTAATAGACCACAGCACAGGCCAGGAAAGGAGCAAACACCTCCCCCTTATCATATCGCCTTGGAAGAACTGAAAATTTACAGGTCCCTAGAAGGAACTCTGAAAACAGCTGAACAAACCTCCAAAGCTTGGGACAGTACATTCTCCACATTGGAAGCAGACCTCTACCTTAATAAAGAGTTTATAACTCAAGTAATTGGCTGGGATCATAAGCAAACCTCGCAAGAAGTGTCAGACCATAGAATCTTTTTTTGGTAACAAAGAAGATCAAAACATACAACCAGAAGAAGACAGCAAAGTCAAAGCTCCTACATCCAAAGCCTCCAACAAAAATATGAATCAGTCCCAGGCCTTGGAAGAGCTCAAGAAGGATTTTGAGAAGCAAGTAAGAGAAGTAGAGGAAAAACTGGGAAGAGAAATGAGAGTGATGCAAGAAAATCATGAAAAACAAGTCAACAGCTTGCTAAAGGAGACCCAAAAATATACTGAAGAAAATAACACCTGAAAAAATAGCCTAATCCAAATGGCAAAAGGGTCCAAAAAGCCAATGAGGAGAAGAATACCCTAAAAAGAAAAATTGGCCAAATGGAAAAGGAAATCCAAAAGCTTACTGAAGAAAATACTTCCTTAAAAATTAGAATAGAGCAATTGGAAGATAGTGACTTTATGAGAAATCAAGACACTGTAAAACAAATCCAAAAGAATGAAAAATTAGAAAACAATGTGAAATATCTCATTGGAAAAATAATTGACCTAGAAAACAGATCCAGGAGAGAGAATTTAAAAATTATTGGACTATCCAAAAGCCATGATCAAAAAAAGAGCCTAGACATCATGTTTCAAGAAATTATCAAGGAAAACTGCCCTGATATTTTAGAACCAGAGGGCAAAATAGAAATTGAAAGAATCCACCAATCTCCTCCTGAAAGAGATCCCCAAAGGAAAACTCCTAGGAATATTATAGCCAAATTCCAGAGTTCCCAGGTCAAGGAAAAAATATTACAAGCAGCCAGAAAGAAACAATTCGAGTACTGTGGAAACACAATCAGGATAACATAATATTTGTCAGCTTCTACATTAACGGACCGCAGGACATGGAATATAATATTCCGGAGGGCAAAGGAGGTAGGATTATAACCAAGAATCACCTACCCAGCAAAACTGGGTATAATTCTTCAGGGGAAAAAATGGTTATTCAGTGAAATAGAGGACTTTCAAGCATTCTTGATGAAAAGACCAGAGCTGAATAAAAAATATGACTTTCAAATACAAGATTCAAGTGGAACATGAAGAGGTAAACAGGAAAGAGGAATCATAAGAGATTTATTAAGGTTGAACCTACATTCCTCCATGGAAAGATGATATACATAACTCATGAGACCTTTGTCAGTATTAGGGTAGTTGGAGGGAAAAATGATAGATAGATAGATAGATAGATAGATAGATAGATAGATAGATAGATAGAGATAGATAGATAGATAGATAGATAGATAGATAGATAGATAGATAGAGGGCACAGGTTGAGTTGAAGATGAAGGGGTCATATCTGGAGAATAAAATTAAGGGGTGAAAGAGGATTATACTGGGAGAAGGAGAAAGGGAGAGGTAGAACAGGATAATTTAACTCACAAAAAAACAGAAAGGAAAAGGCTCCTACCATGGAGGGGAAACAGGAGAAGGCGAGAGGGAATGAGTGAATCTTATTTCTCACAGGATTTGGCTTAAGGAGGGAATAACATACACATTCAATTGGGTATGGAAATACATGTTATCCTACAGGAAAACAGAGGGAGAAGGGGACAAGAGAGCAGGGGAATGAGAGACAGGAGGGCAGACTGGGAAAGGGGGTAACCAGAAGCAAACACTTCTGAGGGACAGGGTCAAAAGAAGGAATAGAATAAATGGGGGAGGCAGGATAGGATTAAGGGAAATAGAGTTAGCTTTTCACAACATGACTACTATGGAAGTGTTTTGCATAACTGCACATGTATAACCTATATTGAGTTGCTTGCCTTTTCAATGAGGGTGGGTGAAAAGGGAGGAAGGGAGAAAATTTGGAACTCCAAGTTTTAAAAACACATGTTTAAAAAAATGTTTTTACATGCAACTGGGAAATAAGAAATACAAGAAATGGGGTGCAGAAATCTATCCTGCCCTACAGGAAATTAGAAGAGGAAGGGGATAAGAGAAGGGGGGGAGAGATAGAAGGGAGGACAGACTAGGGGAAGAGATATTCAGAATGCATGCCATCTTGGGGTGGAGGGAGGAGATGGGGAGAAAATTTGGAACTCAAAATCTTGTGGAAGTAAATGTTGAGAACTAAAAATAAATAAATTTCAAAAAGAAAAAAATAGTATGGAATGTTTGCAAAAAGACACCAAAAATTTTATTTAAAATCTATGCTATTCCTGAATTTGGATGTATAACATTTGGTTAAATTGTAATTTGAAGGATGACCCACCTGCAATGATTCAAATGATTCATTACGTACAGCCAAAATTTCATCTTGGTTTTCTTGTAGCACCTTATGGAAAGATAATTAATTTTTAAAAACCCATATATTTCCAAAAAATAGCAGTAATTTGATTTATATCCTAATATAAAAGTATGAATATTATCAAATGCAGTCAATTCACATTAAAGAAACATTTTTAAAGATACATTTTTAAAAGTTTAAAAGATATGACTAAAAACATATATAGAAAATGGTATGATAAATTTGTTGAAGAGTTTTCATTTAGTAATGCTGAAAGAGGAGCAGAGGGATATATTGGGAAAGGCAGGTGATGAAAAAACAAAAGTTATCAATAAAAATTTTTAAGTAAAGACACAGTGAAATAATATGAAAATTCAGACAAATGTATACAAGTATTTTTGAAGAAAATAAATTAGAAAAGAAAACAACATGAAGAACATAAATGGAAAATGAATTCTTTTAAAGTACATCAAACACTGGAAGCAGCAGTTTTGTGAAAAAACAATGTCGTGACCCTTAGTCCCAAATATCCCACTAAACAAACTAAGCAAGTCACATATGTGAACTTTCATTGATAAAATTAATTCAACAAACACAACAAAGGTTTATCGAGTATGTTTTAAGTTGAAACATTCTGCTGAATGCAACAAGGTACTGTGATACATGCTGGGAATATAAAAACAAATATGACACAGGCCATCAAAAGGGCTATGGATTCAGATAAGGTAGCATCTGAAGTTGCCTTAAAGGAAGAGTGGGACTTCAACATGTGGAGGTGAAGATGGGGGAAGGGAATCCATCCCAAGCATGCAAGAGGGCATGAATAAAGACAGAGGTAGGAAAGTGATTAACAGAATATAGATAGATAGAGAGAGAGACAAACATAGATACTATGTGATGACACGTTACATATGATATGTATATAACATGTTATACAAAATACAGATTGTTTTGTATTTTTTTTATATAACTGTATATTATATAAAATGACACGTATTTTATATTATATAATATTGTCATATGCTATGTTAATATACATATTTTTAATATATGTTCTGTCAATGGCTTTCTATCTGCCTTTGCTCATGTCCTCCTCTGTATCTGGAATGGATTTCTTTCCCCCATCATACACACACACACACACACACACACACACACACACACACACGAATATGCCTACATATACATATGTATAAATATAAACACATATACATACACACACACATACAGACATAGATATATAGATATAGATATAGATATAGATATAGATATAGATATAGATATAGATATAGATGAAAAGGGAAAGTTTAGGGAGACAGACAGTATAGTACACCGGAAAGAACACTGAATTAACTTTAGAAGGCCTAGATTAAAATCATGGCTATCCCACTCCTTATCAGTGTGACCTTAGGCAAGTACCTTAAAATCTTTGTGGCTTAATTTCCCCAACTGTAAAATGGAGGTGAGGGAGTGTTTTTTCCATCTCTAATCTGAGTCTATGACAGATCTGCTACTAACTACTTGGATGACCTTGGCCTTAAACAACTCAGCCAGTTTCTCCAACTGTAGGTTAAGGGGGTTGGACCATAGGATATTTTTACTCCTCTGTCAGCTCTAATTCCAGCAATGAGCTTCAGACATGTTGACTGGAGAGTTGGCAGGGGCATCATCATTAAAGTGTTGGTATATCCCAGCTGTTTCATTCTTAGTCTGGGATGGGAAATGGACATATGAGTAACATAACTCATCTTAAGTTTTTTCATCTATAAAGTGAGAAAATTGTACTATGTGATCTCTAAAATTGCATCCATCACTTAACCCTAATTGCCTAAAAATTAAAAAAAACTTGTTAAAATTGCATCCAACACAACGATAATTTTATGGTAAGCTAGCACGTTGAATTCACCTTAACTAAAATCTTCTCATTTCTCCCACAGTGCCTAGCAATGTGCCCTTGCACATTACTAGTGTTTAATGAACATGAGCTGAAATGGCTGACACAAATGGACTATGTTCAAATTAAAACTGGCAATAGACAATCTAAATTTAGATTCATAAAGGACAAGAGCACACTGATAAAAATTAATTACCTGTCGAGTAGAATCTTGATACAGATTAAGGGGCTCTGGTGTATCTGATGAATAGCACGCTTCTGTAAACTGTTTCTTGGCTACAGTGGACGAAAGTATACCGTTTAGATTATTTGTACTCTGTTGAAATGCAAATAAAATCATATACCTAAAACTGAAAGTGATGGGTAAAATATTATTTGAAAATTATTTTATGATTAAAAGCTATTACAATTACATTTTAAATTTTAACAGGAAGCGTTTTTATAAACTCATTGAAGATGAAATAAACACCTGAATGGGAATGAGTAACCTAGTAAGAACAAGTTTAAAGAAGACATGGAGTCTGATATTCAGTGATATCTGGGCCAGGTGCTACTGCTATAGTCCCTTTCCTGACCATCACTGCTCTACTGCTAAGACTCACTGGTTACCATTCATTGAGCTTTTTTTTTTTTTAAGTTGGTGAACTCATTAACATCACTACAGGCACCACCAATGAATTATTTTTATAAATTGCAACAAGCAGAAAAATCATAAAAGGGTTCTCTGTATTTAAGTAAATACATACATACATACATACATATATATATATATATTCATTAACATTAAAAACAGAATGAAATCTAGTCATTTGCCATCCTTAGTTTTAGATATATATGTATATATACATATTCTTTTTAGTAAATTATTTTATGACAAGTATATGAATAATCACACTTTTTAAATCATTATGGTCTCTAGATAGGATGCAATATATTGTCAGTTAATTCTGACACGATGAAACCTTGTGGTCTGCCTAATTAATCCCAAAGAACTACAAACAACTAAGCTACCCCTCCCCACATGGCTAAGCTTCGCTGCTTATTATGTCATGTTGTAGCTGATTTACAAATAGGAAAAGCGTTCCTCTAAATACATTCGTTGTAAAAAATGTGTGTGCGTGTGTGTGTGTATGTGTATACACACACACACACACACACACACACACACACACACACACACACACACATATATGTATGTATATCCATATCTATCCATATCTACCTATGTAATATCAAGGGAAATAGTTACAAGGGTAGGTCCACAGATGTCACTCATGCATAAATTTTGGGATTTTTTCAATGTATTCATCAGTTGTGCTGATTTTTTTCCTTTCTAAAAAGTACTATTTGTTATGTAGGATGACTTTCTTGGAGGAAGAGGGATATTTAGGATAACTATAATGATGTAAGAAACAGAAAATATCAACAAAAACATAGGTTAAAAAAAAAAGAAAATGAGACAGGGTGATACAGGAGAAAAAAAGGTACCTTTGGAATCCAAATCCACCAACTCTACCTATGTGTCTTTGGACAGCCTCTCTGGGCCTGAGTTTCCTTAGCTATAAAACATAGAGAGGAGGTGCGCCTAAATGATTTCTATGGTTTTCTCCAACTCTGAAATTATGATTCTATGAAGAGTGAGGTAATTGGAATCTATACTCATTTGAGGAAAAACTAAAGTTTTATATTGGTATAAATTTGTCACTGAATTTAATTTCTGGTTTTGATGTATGAGTAAAAGAACAATTAAGCAATAAACATTTGAATATCCAAATCATTTTGGAAAAATTTTTGGAAAAGCAATTCTTTCAACAGGAATTTACTTCCAAACAAACATCATAAAAACTACAATTTTTTTCCTCAAATGAGAAACTTCATGTATAGAAATTTTAGTTTTTACTATAATTACAGGAAAACTAAGTTTAGAAAGTGATTATTACAACAAAAGGATAAGTTATTTCTGGTATCAAACTTCAGTATTTAAGACTCATACTTCTGATTTTATAATTTTCTTTTTAAATTCCAGAAACATAATTATCAAAAATGAAATTGACTTTAGTACTTAGAATCATTTCTATGGCATATCTCCCCCCAAAAAATCACATGAAAGCAATGCTTTTATCTATAATTGCAGTGAAATTAAATTCTAAATTGACATCTCAGCTATTTTACAAACATTTCTGAAGCAAAGATGATTATAATGAAACAAGAACTGTAACAAGTTTCAAATGAATTATAAAATAAATTCCCTCTTAATCTACAAAACAGCTTTAAATTAGTCATTTCTGCTATTTTTTTTTAATAAATTCAAATATTCCAAATTGTTTCAGAAAAGGCCATTCTTAGGGGCAACTAAGTGGTCCAGTGGATAGAGCACTGGCCCTGGATTCAGGAGGACCTGAGTTCAAATCTGGACTCAGACACTTACTAGCTGTGTGACCCTGGGCAAGTCACTTAACCCCACTGCCTAGCCAAAAAAAAAAAAAAGAAAGAAAGAAAAAAGAAAAGGCCATCTTTTTAAAAGAAATGTATTCAAACCACAGGGAAAAAAAATATCTTTCTCTGCCAGTCAAAAGACAGAACATCAAATTTTAGAATTTTTCCCAAAGTAAAAACTAAGGTTTCTAGTGATCATGAAATTCCTTGAAAGCCATCATGTCACAGTATACCTTTATGATTTTATACTATTTCTTTAGCCATATTTAGTTTCTCTTAACATGTTTTTCTTTACCATATTTTTCTCATTTTAATTTTGATGATCATAAATTATTTCAGAATTACAAAATAAAATCAATCTTTCAATGCATTATTACCAAAACTAATGAATCCTGATGGAAAATTTTGAAATAACTACTATTTTAATATAGTTATCTTTCAAAATACATAAATAAAAACATGATTTTCATAACTCTAATTTTTTATAATACCATAAACATACAATTAATATTCATCTGCGTAGAATAGCACATTGTTACGTTCCCTAAATTTGCTAAGATTGTGTTTTGGCTATTACATCTACTATTCCTCAGCTGGATAATGACCATCAACACTCTGTTCAATAAGTTGGTCAATCCGGTATTTCCAAACTAAAGGTTTGCTTACTTGATACTTCATTAGGGGCTATTGGCAAATCAAAATGAAACGCCTAGAAAGTGATTCACTCCATTTCTGTTTACTCTTTCCTTGGAATGCGCTGGGATTCTTTAAAAGTAATAATGACAACGATGATGTACTAACAACCTCTAACAAGACTAATTTAACAAATCACAGCGTTCAGTTTAGGAAGATAACGGCCAACAAATTGACTAATCTGTTTGTGCAATTGGATAAGCAGCTATTACCCATAAAAATTACTGGTTTGCTAATTGAAGCTACCCAGAGAAACCCAGCATCATTCTAACATAATGCAAAACCTCTAGTGGTTTCCACTTTATCCAATCATCTGTTGATAACAACACTGAACCAATATTTAAATTCAATCTCAGATTTTGGGGGATTATAATGCCAGAGTTAATATTCTAGATATGTTTTGGGAAGCCTTGTCAATTTTAGTTCTATCTGAAAGACTGCATAATAATGTCTTTTTAATGCAATAAAACAAAGAAAAATAAAATAAAGAGGATTCACAATAACCTATCACCGTCTGTTAACAATGAGTTCACATACACATTCTCTTTCATTGTATCATGCAAATTTTTATGCTAACAATTTGTTGTTTTAGTGATCTTTAGCCTTCTTGTTTTGTGTTCCTCATACAAATCCTGTTTACCAAGTTTAATTAAAAACATTCAAATCTAAGAATTGTGAACATTATTTACCATGTTACATGACAGTCTCCTCTCTTCTCTGCTCTATTTCTCCCAGTTTTTCCCCTTAATAAAGATCACTTAACTCTTTTAATTTGCAAATACTTTAGAGGAATATATAGGCTAGAAGAAATACCTAACTTTTTTCCCCCTTGGATTTCAAAGTAACAGATCAAGATGGATATTTTAAAATTATTTCATATCACTACAATGCTTCACAATTCTAAAAATCATCCAGTCTTCTCAAAGATAGATGCAGCCTTAAATCTTTTCATTACCTAGACATTACTTAACCAACAAAACACAATCTTTATTTTCTAGCTACCATACCGCCTGGCTCTTAATGTTGAATTCATCAGTCTTACACTTTCTCATTCCTGTTAAATTTCAAAACATATTTGCCACTGCAAGCACTGATTTTAACTTCAGTATTTTTTTTCTTTGGTATGGGTGCTTCCTCTAACCAGCATCGACTGGAAAGCTATCCAAACTCAAAAGAAAACATCTTTGTGAGGGGCAGTGGCCAAAAACAATTCATCGCTTGATGGCCGATTTTCTGGCGGTGAGGTTCTCCTAACTGACCTGGTCTGCTACTTATTCTAGATGTTGCCAAACTTGTGTTCCAACAATGAGTTTTCCTGTTTTTACTAACACGATGGGTAGGAGATAAATATCTTAGGGTTGTTTAATCTTGCGTATCTCTAGTGACAAGTTATTTTGATGATTTGGGTATAGTTGTTGCTAAATCGCACTTTTATAAGATGTTAACTGGGGCAGCTAGGTGGCACAGTGGATAGAACACCAGCCCTGGAGTCAGGATGGACCTGAGTACAAATCCGACCTCAGACACATAACACTTAATAGCTGTATGACTCTGGGCAAGTCATTTAACCCCAATCGCCTCACCAAAAAAAAAAAAGATGTTAATTATCATATCAATCATGGAATAGATCTCAATCTAGAGTTGTGTCAACTACCTATAGATTTTGGATGATTTTTACCATAGTCAATATAAAGATGTCTCCCTAGCTCTTCTTGAAAATTCTAGCAACATGGATTTTATTTGTTTATAAGCTTCTAAAATTATAAGAAATCAGTATTTATCTTTCTCTCATCACCTTTTCTAGTCTCTGATGTTACAAATGTTTTTCCCTTTCTATACTTGTGAAAGATTAAACCTTCCATCATCCTCAAATTTTGACACAGCATATATGCTATATGTGATTGAATTAGTTACCTTCAAGCCAGAAGGAATTATCCAAATATGACTTCATTAGATTTCATTTTTATCTTAACAACTAACAAATGCATAGTATTCAGTTACAATTAATTTATTTTCCTTAAATTGCCATGGCAATGAGGTACAATTCCTATAGTGACATAAAAAGAAGTCATATAGAAAAGAAAATTGGTTATATTACACATATTCTTCCAAGGAAATTTCAATTTAAGTTCTTAGAAAGGATAGCCATTAAAATGAAAAGTACCTATGCAAACAATTTTTTTAAATTTTTGTGTCTATATTATTAATAGGGAGCATCCCCAAATTTAAGAAAATCATTCTAACCTGTGCTTTCCATTGGCTCACATGTCAGATGAATTCCATGATGTTTCAAATCAGGATTTCTCTCATTCAATTTTTCCAAGCTTTCCAAAGCTGTACTATGTTCAGTCAAGGACCTTAAAAGGGACATGCTGTTAACTAACTCAGTAAGTCCAAAGGAATTTTCAGCATTGTCCCAATATTTCCTGCATTCTTTGTTAGTTTCTACCTTACTTTGTAAACTTTCCATACTTTCTGTGTCCTCAAATTCATATACACCTATTTCTTTGGAAATAGGATATCTTTTTTCCCAAAAGGGGGTGTCAGAAATTTGAGTGTTTGATATATCAAATAAGTCACATTTAGAATCAGAATCATAATTCTGATCAGTATTTAAAAGTGGCAGGCTATCATTCTTAATCGGTAACGGTCCATCCTGCAAGTAATTTCCTAAAATACAATCATATCCCCTGTCTTTAGCAAATGATAGCATATTGTCTTTGGAAGTCTGAGTCATACCTATGCTCAATAGAGAAGGTGGATGTAAAGTGTTCTCAATGTCTTTGGACTTACTTTGAGAGGGCACATGATCATAATCAGTAACGGTTGGAGGAACAGATCCATCACAGTGGCCATTACCATATGTTAATACAACATCGGTCTGCTCTGAGGATGAATCCCATTTGGTTCCTCTGCTTAATGTTTCAAAATTCGATGTATCCACTGTCATTTCTTCTTCAACATTTTCAACTTCAGGAAGATTCGGGTTAAACAGAAACGATGCTTCGTTACCCTTTCCAATTCTGTCAAAATCTATTGAAGTTTCAGTACAAATCTGTGAAGAGAGAGTTTTCTTACTGGGCAATTTTGCTGGAGGACTAGAATTAACTGTTATCAAATGGGACAAATGTTCTTTGTCATCTTCTTGACTGCTGTCCCTATCCTCGAATGTCCCTTCAGCAAACACTCTGTCCTCAGATGAAAGTTTCTTTACAGAATGCTCAGAACCCAGGGGAAAGATGTCGCTGTTTTGTGAATCTTCCTCAGTGTCACTGATATCAAAATTGTCCAGATTGAAAGTCACCTCCAAAAATGTTTCTGGTGTACTATTCAAATCTGTATTAGTTTTAATATTTTCATTTTCAGCTCTACTTTTAGAAACAAATGTGGCCAAATTATCAGATATGGCCAAATTATTACTTAAGCAAGAAGAATCTCTTTGCAGCTGTGGATATTCCCATTCTGGCTGAGAAGAAAGCTTTAGGTGGCTCTCCCTTTCTGGCCCTCCAGTTTTGCTTTGTTCCTGTACATTTCCTCTAGAGAAAACAGATCCTTTGATGCATTTTGGATAATCATTGTTGAACAGCATTTCACTCTTGGATTTTGATAATAAGTAATGGTGTTCATTATTGCTACAGACAATTGGTAAGTTTGTTCCCAGCTCACTTTGACAGGATGAAGATACTTGAAAATTTATTTTCTGATCACACGTGGTTTGGTCATCATTGTCTATTTGACCGTCTGTCTTACATACAACCTTTTTTTCAGAACCAGTTGCAAAGATACACATCTCCTTTTGTTCAAAAGGACCTTTCAAATCCAAATCCAAATTGTCATCCTGGTCCTTTGATTTACCTTCAGTATTGCTGACATCAGAAGAACTTGCAGATAAACTCTTTGGTAAATAAATATCCCATCGGCTACTTTTTCTTACACTATTTTCTAAGTGACCCTGGTGAGATATATTTTTTGTGTTATTCATTTCCATGATCTCTTCTTCCCTTTCTATTATGCATTGTGGTTTCAGGGGGCCTTTTATTTCTTCTGTTAACTGTCCAGGAGAAAAACATTCTACAACTTCCAAAGCAGCAGTTGATTTGGACTTTAAAAGCGCTAAAATCTGTTCTTTGCTCCTGACGTTTTGTGAAGTGGCTGAGCCTCTGGTTGTTAGACAATTTTCTTTCATGTACTCAGGATCCAATGAACAATCTGATTTCCTAGTTACAGAATTGAGAAAAGAATAATCATCTTCATCGCAGAATCCCTTCTGGTTAGAAGTGATGGATGTAGGTGAAAGAAGTGAGGAGATGGACATATCATTGGTGTCGCTATTCTTATAATCAACGACACTATTACAGTCAGATGGCCTAACAGTGTCTCTGTTTTTCTTTCCAGCAGTAGAAAACAATGGAGGTGTGCAGAAGAACAGAGAAGAAAAAGTAGGACAAGACTCCTTAGATAAAAGCGAAGCAGCCGATTCACTATTTTCTAGGGTTGCAATCTTCTTTGGTACTTGACGTGGTCCTTGGAATCCCTAAGGGTATAAAAATAACATGAGCTGCACCACACTTTCACCGAGAATTTTAAATGATTTGACAATGGAAAAGGAATGTTTTCACTTTGTTAAAAAAAATTAATATAGTTGGTATAATAAAATACTGCAAGGTTTACAAAATCCTTTACACGTTATCTCATGCAATCCTCACAACATCTCTGTGAGGTAGTCTATTAACCCATTTTACAGATGAAGTCACCGTGGCTGAGAGAGGATAAGTGTCTTGCCCAGGGTCACACAGCTAGCGTAAGAGACAGGAATGGAATCCAGGTCTTTCTGTTTTTAAGTCCAACCCTGTATCCTATACACAGCACTGCCTAGTCACCTCTAAAATGAAACAATTCACTAAACTTTGTTTTTATTGCTGTTCAGTCATTTTAGGCATGTCCAACTCTTTGTGATCCCATTTGAGGTTTTCTTGGCCAAGATACTGGCTTGCCATTTCTTTCTCCAGCTCATTTTACAGATGAGGAAACTGAGGTAAACAGGGTTAGGAGACTTGCCCAAAGTTACACAGCTAGTAAGTGTCTGAGGCTAGACTCATCAAAAAGATGAGTCTTCCTGACTCCACTCTATCCACTGCACCACCTAGATGCCTATATTAACTAAACTAAAATACATTAAAACAATTATCAACTCAGAATCAGATAAAATTTATTTGTTCATTTTCTCACAGATTCTCCCAGCAGTGAGATGCAGTATAGAATTATATATAGAACCAGCCCTGGAGTCAGGAGGATCTGAGTTCAAGTCCCATCTCTTGATACAAACTGGCTAAGGGACTTTAGGCAAGCCACTTAACCTCCAACTGTCCCAAACAAATCTCCAAGTCTACAAATCGAAAAGCAATTTTTATCTGGATTGGTTTAGAGAGAGATTTCTCAAAGGGAATTCCCTATACCAATGAAATAATAAAATGAATAACTGATAAACTATGACAGTCTCAAGATCTGTTGGTCAATTACAAGATGTTATACATACATTCCGATTTCTTATTTGAAGTAGAAAAACTTACAGTAAACTTTCTTTTTAAACCAGTGGGTGGACATGGCTTTGGCTTGTTAGAAGGCTTCAATCCTTGCACGCTTAATTTGGGCACTTCAGTTCTAATCTCTAAATTGCTAGGAATGTTTTCAGCAATTTTTACATCTTCCACTGTGATTAAATATCGATCACTTTCTAAATCGTCTCCAGGTTTCACCTGTATTTTAAAGAAAAAAAGTTCCAAACATACACATTTGTTATCACAAGCAGTCAACATGTAAACAAAAAAGCAGTTTTTCCTAAATGATATAAAAATGCAAATTTGTATCTGAATAACAGGAATCATAGCGATTATATCTTTTACTATCAAAATGAACATATTTTACACATATATTCAAAAGTATACCTGATAAAGCACTGATGTAAATCACTCCACTACCTAACAATTTGACAAAAGAATGTAAACTCATTAACGTTAAGGACTATTTTTTGCCTCTTTTTGTATCCCTGGCACTTAGCATACTGCCTAGCACACAGGAAGTGCTTAATAGATGTTTACTGATTGACTTCATTTATAAGTTATTAAAAATTGTTTTTAAATTAAATTAAATTTAAATTAAATTAAGTTAAATATTATTATCTTAGTTGACGAATAATATACTTGTTATGGTCTTTAAAAGTTAGTGCCCAGCCCTTAGCATAGCAACTGGCACATAGTAGGTGCTTAATGTTTAGCGACTGATTGATAGATAAAATAAACCTATTTAAAACACCTAAATATTTTCAGATTTAATAGAAACAAGACTTAATTTGTTGTTGTTGTTGTTTAATCATTTTTTTGTTGTGTTCAACTCTTTGTAACCCCATTTAGGGTTTTCTTAACAAAAGATACTAGAGTGGTTTGCCCTTCTTTCTCCAGCTCATTTTATAGATGAGGAAACCAAGGCAAACAGGGTGAAGTGACTTACCCAGGGTCACAAAGCTAGTAGTGTCTGGGGCCAGATTTTAATTTAGGTCTTCCTGACTCCAGATACAGCACTCTATCCACTGCACCACCTAGCTGCCCTATGGCCTGATTTAACAATATATAAAAAACTTTTTATCAAATTGAATGACTGATACAGTAATAAGCAAGCTAAGAAGATTAGGGCAAGGCATCAATAGAAAGTAATATTCATTTACTAGACTCATACTTTTTAAATAAGCTCTGTATCAAGAAAAGAAATAGGATGGGGGAAATATTTGAAGTATATCTCATTAAGATCTGACATGCTGAATCTACAAGGAACTGGCCTAATGTGTACATCCTATGACTCAGTGCTTCTTAAGGAAAGCATATTCTATTAGTTTTATAAACTAATTTTGGTTCTATCTTGTTAAATGCTACAGTTTTATGTCAGATTTTATTCCTTATTTTGTATATTATTTTGGGTATTATTTTCCTGTTAATGGTTTAAGTTTACAATAAAAACATTAAAAAGAAATGTATTTTTTATTAACTATTTTCATAAAAAGGTTATTCCAAAGTGATTTCTGAAGTGATTTTTAAAATTTAAGAAAAAATATGAAAATACCTCAGACTGTTTAAGAAATAAACTCTCCAAGCACTGTCCTTTGTCATCATATAAAGTTGCCTACATTAAAACAAAATAACATTTAAAAAATAAAGTTAACATGAAAACATTTTAAATTCTTTAAAATATTTTCTAAAATAAATGAACAATTATTAAGATAAATCACATAAAATGTATTATTTGGCTATGTCATATTTCAAATGTATTCATTTATTTACTTGTAGTACAATTTATTGGTCATTTATTCTAGCACTATGCTAAGCACTGTGCGAGATATAAAAGACCAAGGTAATGCCCTTATAAAATCTTGTAATAATAGCTAGTTTGGAAGATAAGAAGTAAACACATTTATTTGTCAGTTCAAAAAACAATGCGAAGGGTAAATTGACATGGTATTAGAGGTGGTGTGAGTCTTGTGGAAGCGGTATTGTTTTAGAGAGTAAAAACAGTAGAGTCTGGATATATGGAATGTCAGGGTGCAGGGAAAGAAGAGTAGGTAGAATTAAGTACGGAGTGTTTGGTGGACAATGAAGAAACCGTCCCCTCAGTATTAGAAGGTTTTTGTTAGACAAAAGTAGGTGATAAAAGTCCCATAAGTAAGATGACAGCCAAGCTGAGGAATTAGTATACCATTTTGCAAGCAATAGTTTTTATATGTCCTATAGTGTCTCAGTTAATATATGAATTCACTTTTTAAAACCGTTAAACATTAATGTCCGGTGTTTTTTTCTTTGAAAATTACCATAGGTAATTAATAGGTAATATTGTGAATTCACTCAAAAGGCACAATTAATAATTAGTTTTTACCAGTCCAAATATAAATTAAATAAATATTCATTGGGATTCTATTTCTTAACTACCCACAGTAATATTTGGGTTTTTTAAGCCAAGTCAGAGTCTATATGTTATAATTGATGTAATTTTCTTAATGTTCAAATATGAATTTAAGAATTGAACTTTTAGACTTATTAATAGATTATCCGAAACCTACTTTATTTCCTGAGAAACTGATCTTCAGTATTCCATCTTGCCACACTTTTGATTTCTTTGTCTTCTGATGAGTATATAGTACCTTATTTATAAAAGCATGGAAGAGAGTTTTCAACAATCCTATATTTATACTTGTGAAATACATGAATCAAATACTGAAATACTAAAAATCAAAAAATTAAATACTTACAATAAATTCTTGACTTGCCATTGTTTATGCTGGAAATAAATCCACCTGGGGCCAGTAAATCTTCAATAACTGTTAGAGCACGTACTCATTTTGTCCTGGGCATACACAGGATTCACAGAGTTCATCATTAATGAGAAATATAAATAAAAATTTAAATTTAGAATGCTTAATCTTGTTTATAACCTGTTCCAGGTACCTTAAAAATATTAAATGTTATCTTTTCTTTGTACATGGCAACCTAAGAAATAAATTCAATTTGAAACTTGTATCAGAAAATAAGTTTCTTTACTTGATTTTTAAAACTGAATGGTTCCAAGCCTGGGCATGGAGTTGTGGAAATAGAACTGGCCTTGGGAGTCAAGAAACCCAACTTTGAATCATGGTTCTGCAGTTACTACCTCTAAACAAATTACTTAACCCTTCTGTTCCTCAGATTTTCATCTGTAAAAGGACTCTTCCCAACTGTAAAATGTCACCATCCTTGAACACGAAACTCCAATTTAAAAATTTTCTGAATTGCTTCACAACCGCCACAAGGTGGCTCTCTAGTGTTTTGAATATAAGCTTCCGTTTTCAATCTGTGTCAATTTGCTGCTGCAGCAAAGGTTGCAATCATACAGTTAGCAGAAAACACTCTTGCAAAGTGACTATTTATTGACAGATTAAATAGCCTTCTGTGTTCTGGGGCAAGGCAAAAATCATAAATTGTGGACTTCATATAGAAATCATACTGTGTTCTTTTTCTCTTTTCTCTAACAATCAATCTATTTCTGGGACTTCACTCGTTTGAAAGAGAAACTTTGCAAGGGTTAGAGTTTAAATTTCCAAATTCTATGATTCTATGCAGAAAGGCTAATAGAACTAAGATCATTTTATCATAAAGCAAAGATTCATAAATGGAACATTTAAAGGATTGTTATAACCAAAGAATTTAAAACCAAGTGCCCAATCTACTGACACACATCTACAATTTTTTTTTTTAAATACAGGCTAGTCCTCTAAAAATAATCTGTTGCTGGCCCTTACTTGAAGTCTGCCAGAACTCTCAGCCTCCATAGCCTTTGGGAACTCAGAGATACATCCATAACATCAGAGTAGGACTTTTTCAACCCCTCACATGTAGGTCTACTTAGGGCTGAACAAGTCAAAACTGATTCAAAATATAGGTCAGCTATAAGGAATTTAAATAAGAAGATTCTATATTTAAGGAAGAATTTTTCTGGATTGAGGATTGTTAATGGGTAGAGATATATTTGTGATTATTTAAGTATAATGCTATCTAAAAGTGAATGTGAAGAGGGAGAATAGACTGAAAATGGACCAGATCTCTCTCGTTGTATGGTTTATTTTCAATCAACATTTATCTAATTCAATTGATTGACATTTAATCAATCAATGACTACTACATGCCAAACTGTATTAAGCATTGGGAATACAAGGATTGAATGAAATCCTACTTGCAAGATGTTTACATTCTAACATGTATTTACAAATATGTGGTCAAAGGCTCTACACTTCACAAAGTCCAGGCATCAATTTACTGGCTCCTGTAAAATCGTGCTAATCAGCAGCTAGGTGGCGCAGTGGGCAGAGCACTGAGCACAGAGTCAGGAAGGCTTTTGAGTCTTCTAGCTTCTAGATGGGAAAGTCACTTAACCCAATTTGCCTCAGTTTCCTCTCTGTAGAATGAGCTAGAGAAGGAAATGGCAAGCCTCTCCAGTATCTTTGCCAAGAAAACCCCAAATAGGGTCTTGAAGAATCAGACACAACTGAATAATTTTTCTAAGTGTTTTGGACATTGGGTTTTTAGGATTTTTTTTTTTGGCATCCTGCTCTATAGCAAGAGTTCTTAATTTGGGTCTGTGAACTTTTTGTTTGTCTCTGTTATGTTTTGTTTTTTAATGGTAATAACTGTATTTCAATGTAATTGTTTTCTTTTGTAATCCTACAGATTTGATTTTATGCATTTAAGCCCAATATTCTGAGAAGGGGTCCCTAGGCTTTGACATACTGCCAAGGGAGTCCATGACACAAAAAAAAGTTAAGAACATCTTGTCCAGGACAATAGGGGTCTGTGTATTTTCATGGAGTCCCTCAGCTCTGCCAAGGAAGAAAATTACATCTTTATTTTCACTAAACTCTAACTGAAATTTATCTTTTCCTTCCATTTGAATGTAGGTAACAAACCATTCACCTGAGAAGTGCTCTATCACACCAGACTACCAAAGTGGACCATGACCCAAAAAAAGGTCACCTCTCTACAGGATCTTTTGCTGTTGTTCAGTCTCGTCTGACTCTGTGACCCATTTGGGGTATTCCTGGCAAAAATACTGGAGTGGGATACAATTTCCATCTCCAGTAGATTAAGGCAAATAGAGGTTAAGTGACTTTCCCGGTGTTGCACAAGTCTTTGAGGCCCAATTTCAACTCGGGTCTTCCCGACTCCAGACCCAGTCTCTATCCACTGAGTGAAGTTAAGTAACTTGCCCAGGGTTTACCCAAACCTAAATCCACAGAACAAACACATTTCAAGAATCACAGGCCCAGATGAAGTCTTAAGATTTCCCCTGACTCAACATCATCAACAAGAAGGCACATTAAAGTTTCTCTAAGTCCTGCAGGTTTGACTTTTGCCTTAGTCCCTCAGGGATCTCAAAGCACAGAGGTAGGACTGAGAGGGATCACAGGTACTAACACAGTCTAAAATACCCATACTATACTTATGGGAAAACTGAGGATCAGAATTGCCTTCACACAGGTGAAGAGTTGAGGTTTTCACTGGCTTGTCCCCCTTCCCTCCTAGTCTCCACCTCCTAGCTCCTGGGTTTCCTTCAAGTATCAGCTAATGGTAGTGCCATTAAATTGTAAGCTGCTTAAGGGTAGGGACTGTCTTTTGCCTCTTTTTATATCCCCAGGGCTTGGAACAGTGCCTGGCACTTAGTAGGCATTTAATGTTTTTTTGATTGACTGCCTCCCAATTTATAGCAGCTAGAATTTGTGGCTATTTATATAGTGCTTATAAAATTTGCAAAGCTCTTTACATGTTAATTCCTTTTATTCTTACTATAGGGCAGCTAGGTGGCATGGTGGATAGAGTACTGGGTTGGGAATCAGGAAGACTCATCTTCCTGAGACACTAGTTATGTGACCTTGACAAGTCACTTAATCCTATTTGCCTCAGTTTCCTCATCTGTAAAATGAGCTGGAGAAGGAAATGGCAAACATCCCAAATGGGGTCACAAAGAGTGAGACACAAGTAATCAACAACAACATTCTCAAAACAACCCTGGTAAGTCAGGCACTGTTATTATCCCCATTTTACAGATGAGAAAACTGAGGCAGACAGAGGTTAAATGACTAGGCTAGGGTCTTACAGGTAGCATCTTCTGAGTCCTGATTTGAATTCAAGTCTTTGTGATTCCAGGTCCTATACTCCATCCACTAGCTATCTTAATTTATCCTTTTTATATCTTGTTTATACGTAGATGTTTGCATTAGGTCTAACCTATCAGACTGTGGGCTCCTTGAGGTCAGGGCCTGTGTTGATTTTTTTTTTTTTTGGCCTCTAATCGTATCCCCTACACTTAGCATGATGCCTAGCACACAGCAGGCACTCAATAAATGTTGCTTATTTGACTCCCTTCAGACCCAGCAGGTCTTTCCTGTCCCCTGTGGCTTCCCTCCTTCAGAGCCTCCAGGCAATCTCAAAGCACTCCAACCCTCACCTCTTCCCTTTTTCTAGTCAACAAGCACTTGTGGGGGGCCTGGCACTGCTGGCTGGGGGACATGATGCAGGAAGGTGGGGTCAGCTCAATTCTCTGGGCCAATGCGGGGAAGGTGGTCAAAGGAGATGCCCAAGCACCAGGACCACCAATCCTTCACCTGGGAATTCCCCACCCAAGCCCCCCCCCCCACGACTCTGCAGTGAACCCACCTGCAACAACACAGACACACAATACACACAAAGATACCCAAATACAGCCACACACAGATATAAACAATATACACTAAGATTATTACGGGTACACAACACATACATCAGACACAAACAATACACACAAAGATACCCAAATACAGCCACACACAGATATAAACAATATACACTAAGATTCTTACGGGTACACAACACACACACCCCAAACATAAACAATACACACAAAGATACCCAAATACAGCCACACACACAAACACACAAAGATACTCACGGGTACAAAACACACACGTCATACGGACACAAACAATACACACAAAGATACTCAAACACAAATAACCCACAAGCCACACAACACACAGACACCACACACACAACAGTCACAGACAGAGCACACACAGTACACAGACACACACACCATACACACAGACACGGACGACACACAGCACTCCCCCCAACACAAGCACACAGAGGACTTTTTTGGAGGGGGTCACCTGGCCCAGGCGTAAGTCTGGCTTTTCGAATCTTTCCCGCGAAAGCCGCTGACGTCACCGCCCCGCGACAAGGCGCCACCGGCCCCCCTCGCGCGCCCCGCCCCCGCCCTTCGGAAGCACCAATGGCGCGGCTCCTTCCGGGTCCTCGCGCACGCAGGCGGGACGACGGCTCCGGTCGCAGAGTGCTGACGCGCGGGCCCCAGCAACTGGGAAGAGCGGGGAGGAGGAGACCGTTTCGGAAACGCGCCGTGCCTAGACCCGTTGCCTGGGGGACTGAGCTGAGTAAGTGCTAGAGGGCGAGACGCGGAGCGCGAGATGCCCCGCGGGGGTCAGGCCCCAACCCGCCGTTTTATTCTGGTTGGCTTCACTTCCCGCACCTTCCTAATTGCGCCCCCCTCCTCTCTACCCCCTATCTCCCTCCCCTCTACCTTCCCTCAGACCCCCTCCCGTCTTTGTGTGAGGGTGCATGCGCAGAAGGACTCCGGGCGTCCCGGCCCCCTCGTAGTCTTGAGTTGGGGCAGCCCCTGAGCTGGGGGGAGGTTTTGGGGGGGGTTTCTGATCCTCGAGACACGCCTATCTCACCAGTCAGTCAATATTTATTATGCACTGACCTTTACTGGGTGGTCTAGGCAAATTAGGTGGTCTAATTACCACCTAATCATTTAACAAGCATTTATTAAGCCCCAACTGTGTGCCAGGTGCTGTGCATTTAATCCCTTTAGTTTACAGCCTGATCAATCACTAAGTTTTTATTAAACATCTGCTGTGTGCCGGGCACTTGCATTCCATGCCCTCTTGCCAGCCCCATGGCTGTTCTACCAGGAAGACAGACGCTCCGACTCTGTCCCCCAAGCCAGGAATACTCTCCCTCTTCATCCTTGCCTCCTGCTTCCTTCAAGTCTCAACCCCTTTTTTTTTTTTAAGGCTTGGGGTTAAGTGACTTGCCCAGGGTCACACAGCTAGTGTCAAGTGTTTGGTCTGAGGTCGGATTTGAACTCAGAGCCTCCTGACTAAAGGAGCTCTATCCACTGCACCGCCTAGCTGTCCCTGCATCCCACTTTCCGCAAGAAGCCTTTCCCAGTCCTTATTCTTAGTCTCTTCTCTGAGATTCTCTCCAGTTGATTCTGTATATAACTTGTTTGTGCCAAACAGTCTTCCCTAGTAGACTAGGAACTCATTGGAGGCAGGGACTTTTTTTTTTTTTTGCCTTTCTTGGCATTCCCAGTGCTTAGCATGATGCCAGGCACAATATAAACCCTTAAAAATGCTAGGTGACTTGACTTCCCTCCCTTTAATCAACAAGATTTACAACACCTGTGTGCCAGTCACTTGGCATTCCCTAGGTTTAATTTGCCATTAAATCAGCAAACGTTTAGTTGTTGTAATGGATGTGAAGTTGGGATGAAAGTATTGAACTTGAAGTCAGGAGACTTGAGGGGCAGCTGGATGTGCAATGAATAGAGCACTGGGCCTGAATTCAAATGGGATCTCAGACAAAATTACTAGCTTGTGTGACCTTGGGCAATTCACTCAAGGACCCTTGGCCTCACTTTCCTTGTCTGTAAAATAAGGAAAATAAGAGCACCCACCTCCCAGGGTTGTGGTGAGGATTAAACTAAATAATATTTGTAATGTGTTTGCTCCATGTTAAACCGTATATAAATGTGTATTATTATTATTATCATTGTTCCCAGCTTAATTACTTATTACTGCCTAGAGACAAGAAGTTGCTCAGTCATTTTTTCAGTCATGTCTGACTCTTCATGATCTGATTTGGGGTTTTCTTGGTAAAGATACTGGAGTGATTTGATTTGCCTTTTCCTGCTCCTGCTCATTAAAAAAAAAAAAAGAAAGGAAGGAAGGAAGGCAGGCAAAAAAGAGATCTGAACTCAGGAAGATGAGTTCCTGACTCCAGGCCTGCATCTATCTACTCTGCAAGTTCAAATGTGACTTCATACTGTTACTACCTATATGACCTTAGGCAAGTCACTCAACTTTTGTTTGCCTCAGTGTCCTCATTTTGTAAAATGGGAATAACAATAGCACCTACCTCCCAGAGTTGTTTTGAGAAATGAAATAATATTTGTAAGGTGCTTGGTATATATTAAGCATTATACAAATGCTAGCTGCTGTTATTATTAATCCTGGATCTATTACTTACCCAGCCATATCACTGAACAACTCAGACTCAGTTGTTTTGCCTTCCAATCTAGAAAAGCTTTTAAGTATGGGATTGGTGATAGATCCTTTTCTTGTCTGACACACAACCTAGTCAAATTCTGAGAAACTTTTCTCCAAGTTGACTTCAGAATGATGAATCGTTCATATCCTGCACCTCAGGAAGGTCTGAGTGCAAAGGCCGTAATGTGCATTAATGAAAGGAGTACCCATGTAGTTAATTACAGATCCTTAAGCTTTGCCTGGTATGCTGGTGAGACACTGAAATTTCATTTCTCTTACCTTTCACTTTTCTTCCTGTTCTGAAAAGTAAAATGGTCCAAAGTAGTTTGTGTTGTTGATAAAAGATGTCACTGAGTAAACTGGTGTTAGCTGTAGTAAAAATAAAAATAGATATAAAATAGAAATTCATCCAATGCCTACAAAATAGATTAGCGGATGAGTTGTGAGGGAAAGTATAGCAATATATTTTTAAAAAATCATTAATTTCGTAAGTGGAAATAACTCATACATTGTCAAAGACATCACTTTTGCTCTGGAGTTAAACTGTGCAATGTTAAAATATGCAGGAAGTTGTAAGAATAAGAACTTGAGGGCCCAAACCGGGAGTGGGGAACCTTTGGCCTCAAGGCCAGACGTGGCCCTCTAGGTCCTCTATTGCAGCCCTTTGACTGAATCCAAAATTCCCAGAATAAATCTCTCTAATAAAAGGATTGTTCTGTAAAACTTGGACTCAGTTAAAAGGCTGCATCCAAGGACCTAGAAGGCCACAGCTTCCCCACCCCTGGAAACCATAAGGGAAGGTAGTACTGCCAAATAAGTTCTGCTGTCAGTGATATAAAGTTATGGCAGTGGGCTAGGGGATGTGAAGTGCCTTTGCAAGAAAAGTATAGCATACCTGTATATCATCTCATTTTAAAAAGAGATCGCCATACCTCTTGATTTCTTAAACTTGTTCTTCCAAGTTGAAGGCAGACTTCATCATTAGTATACAGGTATTTTAAAATAATTTTTTCCCAATTACATGTAAAAACAATTTTTAACATTAGGGTTTTTTTAATTTTGATTTCCAGAAAATCTCTCCCACTTGTCCCTCCCCCCTCCCTGAGACAGTAAGCAATTCAATATAGATTGTACATGTGCAATCATGCAAAACATATTTCCATATCAATATATGTTTTAACAGATATTCTTACACTTATGAGAACATAATGGGCCAGTACATGTCTTTGTGCTTACCATATAGGATTGTCCTGGCAGTCTTTGTTGAGCTATTTAATAGCTGTGTGACTTTCAAAAAGTCACATAACCTGTCTGAGGCTATTTCCTCACCTGTAAACTAGAAATGATAATAGTAGAACTTAGCATTCAGAGAATGAAATGAGATAATGGCTTTAAAAGTGTTTCAGCACTCATAAACTATGTCTGTGACATACTTTCCTTCATTTCTTCTCTACCACAATAAATTGGAGATAAAAGTTCATAGTACCTATGCAATCCTCTTTTTCTGTTCTGTGAATGAATGAAAAAAACATTAAGTGCTTACTGTATGTAATACAAAGTTCCATGCTCAGTGCTGAGGATACTTAGGAGCAGAGTCAGTAAACATTTATTAAGCACCTACTGTGTGCCAGTTACTTTGCTGGAGATGCAAAGAAAGGCAGAAGACAGCCTCTGCCTTCTAGGAGCTCACAATCTATAGAAGAGACAACATATAAAAAGAAGTTGAAAATGGGTGGTGGAGTTACCTGGCTTGGGGACATGATGGAAGTCCTACAACCCAGTGGGAAATGATCTGGAGAGGTAGGAGTTTCAGAGTCGATTTCACCTTATAGAATGATGTGCTGGAGGGAAGATGATCAGGAATCCTTGGGTGCTGTCCTTAAATGCAGGAGAATCAGGGAGGAGTGCCAGCAGAAGGAGATGGGGACCTGAGGAGCAGGGGCTGCTGAGGAGGTGTGAGTTTCAAAGTTGATTTCATCTTCCAGAATGATGAGTTTCTGGAGATGATGACATAAAATGAAGTGAGTAAGACAGTCCCTGCTTTCAAGAAGCTCACATTCTAATGGGGGAGACAAGGTTTCACCTACTAGTTAGATGAAAAGATACCAAGGTCCTTAAAGTACAGCAGCAAAACAGATGGTAAAGCATTTTCTTTAATGTCATTTCTACTGATAAAATATCAGTTTCTGATGTTAAAATTTGACAGTGCCAAAGACCTTAGGGACAAGAACTTTCTCTTCCGGGTTTTTAGTAGCTGTGGCTGCAGCATCCACAGAGGCTGTTTCTCAGGGTGATCGTTTTGAGGATTGGCATCTGGAGGGTATTGTCATTTGTAGGGCCTTTGGTCTTACCCATCAGTAGCAATTAGTATTGGCAACGATGATGATGGTGGTGGTGAGTGCTTACTGTGTGTAATGCATCCCCTTTCCTACAGTGATTGCTCCTCTCCTTGATGAGAGATGCCCCTTGGTGGCAGTTGGTGGGATGGCTGGACTTTTCTCCACAGGATGATGGTTTTAGGGGCTGGATTAGAATCAGTATTAGTGGGCCACAACCATGGCCCTTGGGGTTACCTGCGAGTAAATAACAAACATGATCAGCGATTGGTATTTAGTAGTATTTAATAGATCCCTTTTCACCATGATTGTTGTCCTCAGTGCTGGCTAGCTGTGGGGCCCCGACAGGAGTCAGGGCCAGTGTTCTGGGGGGCATTGCTGTTCCTAAGACTCTTGGGCTCAAGGTACTGATGATCTCCATCCTAGACAGGATCTAGGAGAGCTGGTGGTTGAGGTGGTAATGGTGGTCAGGCTTGCTTTGATACATGCAACCTCCTGTCTCTTCCTCAGGGTGACTTGCTAGGATCAGGGAGTCATCTATATAGAAGTCATAGTTGAACACAAGTGAACTTTTTATAT